TATATAATATATAAAATATATCCAATATATTTATATATCCAATCTATAATCTATAATCTATGTATATATAATATATATAATATATAAAATATATCCAATATGTTTATATATCCAATCTGTATATATATATCCAATATATTTGTATATCCAATCTATATATATATTTATATATCCAATCTATAATCTATATATATATATATATATACAACTAGCACACACAAACACTGGTTGTTGTGGTGTAGGCTCACAAGAAGCACCGGGTGAACCAGGAGGTTCTGCCGAATACGCCGCTGTCGTCCGTCCGGCCCAAGACGGATCACATCTTGTGCCGCCTCTTCTCTATCCTCCAGCCGGACGTGGTCCTCCGCTCCAACTACCTCCCCATGGTGCCGTTCGAAGGCACGTACAGGGAATTCACAGGCATTTTGGAGTACTTTACGAATGTGGCGAAAGCAGTCAAGTTTAAATCTTTCCATGTGGACGGTATGAGCTGCGAAGGCCACAGTGGGAAGCGCATTGTGGTCGTGTCGGGAAAAGAGACGATGCAGGTGCGCGCGTCCAACGCTACCTTTATGCAGCACTGGGTGCACAAACTGCACTTCAAAGACGACGGCCGTATCTCCAGGTATATATATATATATATATATATAGGATGAGGATGGATAGATGGATGTATTGGTTGATTCCATCGTGTTGAGATGAAGGGGGGGGGCAGTTGGGCTTTCGACGGATATGCATCGATATGACTGAGGCACTATATATATATATATATATATTGTCTTTTTACCCAAAATTTGGATGACTTTTGTGCTGATTCGCCAAATCTACGTTCGATCGATATTATTTGTACTGACTTTTGTATGTAAAATTCGCCCAGTGTCACATCAATATTGAAGTCACACACACTGATTCGATAAATGGAATTGGTCGGAGAGTGAATCTGATTGGCCAGTTGATTCTTGATCTGGGTTTTGATTGGTCGTATATCGATTCTCTGCCGATTGGGTGCTGCTCATTCGATTGAGTACCCCACTCCAATTTCGAATTGCCTTCACAATATATATATATATATATATATATATATATATATATATATATATCACATTCCTTGGGGGGTGTTGTGAGAGGGATGTGGTGTCGATTTATTGGTTTCGAGAGCATATGAGTGTATTTCTTGTATTGAAAGAAAAGTGCGATGGCGGTGATTGGAGGATATCTATAGAATTTGCTGCTTGTTGTAAGAGAATCGCCGACAAGAGCTTAACCAAGGCAAGGTGATGTGTATATGTATAGGATGTGGATTGTACGTTCAAATTGGACAGTCTGTTGGAATAGTATTGTGAATTGTATCTACAAAATGCCCAAGCTTCCAGGGTTCGTTCAACCGAACACAAATAGAGCCGAGACGTGTTTTGATTGGCTACTATCCAAAAGGCAAAAAGAGTTGTAGCCAATCAGAAACAAGTAATGTCGGATTGTGACCAATAGGAGATATTCGTGATAGGTTTGGTCGGCGAGATTCGATTGAACGGGGTCCAGAAATTCGTACCGAATCTCCAATGCATGTGTTTTCGTGGTGATGGTTGATATATATATTTATTTGCATTCAATACTTTTAGAATCGATGTATATATATAATATTTATACAATACATGTATCTGTTATAATATTTTTTAATATCGTACAACGGTTGATATATATATATAAATATTATTTTTTATGGAAGGTATATATATATATATATATATATTGTATGGAACGGTATATTTGATAGCTTATGGTTAGCATCATTCTACTAAGTGGTAGGCGTTGATCGTTCAAGTTTTCCGTCATGTTATATCGCGAGTGCTATATTCCATCGTGAATAACAATCTAGTAGAATGCCTTGGTGAACGATCTTCTGTGGCTGGTTTTTGATAGATTCGTGACTATACATGAAATAATATATATATTTCCTTGTAGATGGGAAATATTTGGGGACGTGGTGGCGTCGTCGGTGGTGTTCAAGCCCCAGGGTTTCAGCATGAACTTGACGCTGCCGTCGCACTCGGAGCGCGTGCGCGAGTCGTTTGTTGGCGGGTACATCGTCGCGATCAAGTTCAAGCACCTCACGGGCATCCGGACGGACCCTCACGAAAGGTACTTTGTCCGGTGCGCTTTTGAGAGTACCTCGGCGGGAGGTCGTGAGCAGCAGCCGACGCAGGCCCAGAGCAAAGTGATGGTCGCTACGTCGGCCACGGACGGCGACGTGTGTCATTTTGATATGAACCAGGATCTATTTTTGCAAATGGACAGCCTGTCTCGTGATGACAATACACTCTTGGGAGGTAATAACAACAGATAGCATATTTGTGTTCAATGTTTTCTTTATATATATATTATACTATTTTTCTTGAATGGATACTGGATGCTTGCATGCCAAATGCGGATGTAATGGGGTTGGATCTAGTTGTGAATATATATATTATATATATACAAAAACACACACATTCCAGTGTTAAAGTTGTTGGGAATGGTGTCTATTTGAGTGTCGATCGATCGTTGCCCACCATGGGAATGTATGTAGTAGTAGTTGGGACTAATAAGGGTGCATAATCGGACTAGTGCAATTCTGCCACCTCGCCACCCACGACGTCCTGGGGCGGACGACGGTCAACTTGGCGTACTTTTTCAATCGCGCAGGCATGGAGTCGAGCTGGCAAACGTACACGCTGTCCAACGCCAATGAAAGTTTCTATGGCAAAATGATGCTTTCGGTACCAAGATCCTCTGAATATATATATATATATATATATATATATATATATCATTGTGGGGGGTAGGTGCATATTTCTCCGCTGGGCGAAGGCGCGGCGAGCTTATCGTCTGTCATACCGAGTACCCCCGGCGTCAAGCGGTACCCGTGGCTGCACTCAACCACCCGCCACAGCCTCACCAACCGCCACCTCTTTAGCTCGTTTGTTGGCGACGACGTTGAACAAAGTACGTACTACTAGTAGGAGTACTCGTAATACTAGTATTACTAGTA